GCGACGCGTGCGCAGAGCCGGGTGCGGGTTGGGTGCGGGCGTCAGCCTGAGAGTCAGACAGGATACTTGAGGCCCAAGAGTTATTCACCGGTTCTGCCACGTCTGACTTCGGAAGACTAGGGCCAGACGGCCTGCTGCGTGCAACTTGGTCTGAACCACTGACCGGGAGCCCCTCGCCGGCGTGCCATCCCATCCATTACGCTGCGTCCTCAAGCACTGCCGCACGCAAACTGCACGACCAGGACCCGCCGTGCCCGCAGAGGCATCCGCGCATTGGCGGCCCCTTGTGCGCGCGTGGCTTGCGATGGCAGGCGACCTCGACGGCGGGGGCGTGTGAGGATCACATCGCATCGCAACGTCGTCGACTCCTGCACTTGTTCCCGTCTGCTTTGTTGTTGGGCGATGCGCGAATCGTGCGTCATGCCAGGTGTCGAGCGATCCCCAACCTTGGCCTCGAATGAAAGCACCTTAGCCAATTTTTATGATGATTGAGCTTGCACGGCATAGTTCCCTCGCTTTCGCAAGTGCACACTGGTAGAGAGGTCGGTGGATGTCGGCCGACTGCAGGCCGACTGCATCCGACACTGCTCCCAATCCGACCAAGTTGAACCAACTCACGACTTCCGCTGGACACCCGAGTCTCGTCTGGACGATTGAAGTAGCCGTTCAACACTAATCACTCTGTACCGGACCTTGCAGGGCTACCGGACACTGTCGTCGGCGCCGATGGTCTTTTCGCATTTCTGATCTGATTCGGACTTTTCTGGACTCGTTCGTCTCGTCTGGCTTCCCCTTGCCTGGCTTCTCCCCTCATACTATGCATAAACTGCTCTCGACCGCCCCGATCTCCATCATTTCAGGAGCAGGAGATGGGCAGATAAGAAATAAGCGGGGACATGCTAGGCGCCTGAGCCCTGAACGTGCAAACGGTAGCCGCGTGGGTCCGCACATGCCACACGGAACAACAGAAACCGGGGGAACTACATGGAACTTCTGAACTGACTCGTGGGCGCCCTCGGAATGCTATAAGACGCGGACCATCGCCGCAACTTAGGCGCCTGCCTCTTGTCCTCACACCACCGTGCTACAATGCCCATGAAGCCAAAGCGAGTTGACCGTGGATGGGATGATGATGGTTTGGATACCGCTGGCGGCTGGGGCCCGCCCACACAACACCAATCGCGTCCCAGTGCATGCTCTTGCACCTTCTCGAAGAAGAATGATATCGAAGGCGACACATGCCCATCGGACCAGGACGAAGTCGCAACGGAACCGTTCGATGGCGTTTTAGAACGAAAGGAACACTACCTCATACGGGAACAAATCTGGTAATTCTTTACATTGTGGATCGATCAAGGATAATAATGGGTCTTGTTGCACATGTGTATAGGCGTGAGGAGATTCAGCAATGGGTCCCTTACGATGCATCACGCTACAAGATCCCCGTACTCGAGAAGGATCTGGGTAACTATTTCTACATCAACATACGGCATCTTTTGCCTGGTGGTCAGTTCAATTCCCACATCCGCTCCGCATCCTACTTATGCTTGAGACCAGATGAAGGGGAACTTGTTCTCAGCGACTTTAGCGAGACCCTTCTCAATTTCTTGAGGAAAGTGCTTGTCCATCCCCATGCTCCTGTTGTTCATCCTGGACCGATAGAACCTTCTACGGCGATGAATTTTATGATGATTCCCCCGAGCGATCCGCCGACAGCCTGCTCCCGGATATTCCTATTCTGCGGTCTAAACTCGAAGCTATCAATTTCCATCTAGCAGCAGAGACGCCCAAGATCGCGGCCGGAACAATGTTGATAGCGGGGGCGGCAACGGAAGTGGCGGATTCGGACATCATAGATAAGCGCGCGTTTGCCGTGGCTCTCGGATGTAAAGAGGCAAAGAAAGGTATTCTTTTCCAAATTGCAGATGTATAGGATGCTGAGCGATCATCTTAAAGCCACGTACATGGAGAGCCATGTTGACCAATTCTTAACGGAAGCGCGGGAGCACTTATCGGTTCTGACCGATTATCTTTCGGAGCTCTACAAGCCAAAGTATCTCAGACCCCCTTCAAGTCTGCTATCTGCTGATGTTCGACCTCGATTCTCAGGGCGGAGAAACTTGCTCTGCAGCTCTCCGATGGTTGTATCGAGTTCAACCTCCTCATATTTTATTACGAACTTGAACAACGGTATTATTTGGACTCCCGGAATGACGATATGGTGCTGTGTCTGTCTTCTCGACTGTTTAAGGGTGTCATTAACATGTCACTCTCAGACCACTGGTTTCCGCTTGAAGCACCGCGCATATAGCGAGTTCGTCCCACCTCTGAGAACGATGGTTTGTGCCGCTGATTGCTTTGACAGTTCCAAGAAGAATTTGCATCTATCGGGAAGTGCGTACAGGTGGGATGGGCGATACTATGAGGAGACTCCGGTCGACTGTTATGTAGGCTCCTACCATGTTCGTTTCTCCATCATTGTCAATGTACCACCTAACAATGTTTCAGGGAACCAAGGACCTCAATTCCCTCCCTTGCCAACCTCTGACACCTGAAACCGAGGCAGCGCTCATGGCCAGGGGCCTTTTGTACACGGCGCTGTCTGGATGCCATTACCGATCATGTAAGTTCGTCAAATATACAATGGGTGTTGAATGTGCTCATGCTTTCCCTGCCTTCTCATTTGGTAGACCATAAGGTCTGCCGGAATGCTCTCCTACAACTGTGACGCTGACAGCGATATGGTGTAGGACCGTATCATCGTGGATAGGATTGGGTATGACTGTCGCAAAGGTTATGACCGTGATACGTCAGTGTCGCATACTATGAGGTTGACTCGTCCCTCACGAAAGCAAAGCAGCAACGAAGAGATCCCTGAATTTCCCAAGGAGAATCTGTGGCTACTGCCCGGAAGTGTCTATGGCTTTAATTTGACAAAAAAGGTAGAAGTCTTTCGATTCAACAGTCCTGCGATGCATCTCAGATTTTCCTCTCCGAGGTGTGGTCTGTATTCTCCGTCACGGAAATTGGACCCGTGTCGTTTGATGAGAAGGCTTGGGACCATCTTGTGTTGGATGCGGAAACTAAAGTGAGCACATATATCATCCGCATTTTGCGAACCGATTTCAACCCATCATAGCTTCTCATCAAATCACTGGTTCAAGTCACTCGCAACTCGAATACCACGTCTAATATAATCAATGACGTGATCACGGGCAAAGGCGGAGGTTTGGTGAGTTCAGTCTGTTCCTCTCGGTGACACTTCAGCTTCAATCCCAACCCAACTAGATCAGTGTCCTACATGGTCCTCCGGGAACAGGCAAGGTTTGTGTGTTTGTTGTTCTTTATAGCACTCGGCCTCATGCCCCGCACAATAGACTTTAACCGCGGAAGCTGTGGCAGAGCAATTGAAGCGACCTCTTTATATTGTTGGGACATCTGAGTTGTCTACTAAACCGTCGGCAATGGAAGAGAGACTCAAGTCCATCCTCAGTGTAATTTCAACGTTCATACGCTGAAAGACAGGTCCCTCACGTCTATACATAGCTTGCTACGGCATGGGACGCCGTGCTACTGATTGATGAAGCAGATGTGTGTTACTCGCATAGATGGAACAATCTCGGTCCCTGATTGATTCACAGGTCTTGCTGGAGCAGCGGAGTCTGCATGAAGTGTGCATTCGACCTCGCCGTTGAGTTGGGTTGATTAAATCCAGCTAGATCGAGCGCAACTCCTTGGTGTCAGTTGCGCTACGCGTCTTGGAGTATCACCGTGGTGTGCTGTTTCTGACAACAAACCGTATCAAGACTTTCGACCCTGCGTTTCTATCTCGCATCTCTGTTGGTGCGCGCAAGACCAAATTGGCACTCTTACTTCTGCTGAAGTACGCGTCTCGCAGCGATCAAATATCCGGAGCACGATCTGCACTCCCGTCGGATCATTTGGCGCAAATTCTTCGAGCTTGCAGGTGTCAAAACACACGACACTGATGGATCTGGACGCTCAACGCCCACGGACATGGTGAAGCTCGACGATCCCACCAAAGTGGCCAGCATTTCCGAGGCGGAGCTGGATGCGCTTGCCGAGAAGCCATTCAACGGGCGGACGATCAAGAATCTCGTCCGCACCGCGCAGGCGCTCGCCATGTCCTTGTATGTTTTTCCAACTTGCATTCATGTGCACAACACTGATTTGCTGGATAGCGAGCAGCCGATGTCAAAGGCACACCTCGATATCGTGGTAAGGTCACAGGAAAAGTTCTTGTGCGAGTTTGCAACTGAATAGCGGCACTGATGTTATATGTGATACTTGTAGAATGAAGGAGTTGGATATCTGAGTGTGAGCCCTAGTTGAACGAGTGATGCATCATACAAGTGCCGCGCTTTCACCACTTGACAGCGACTCGGAGCAGCCAAGCACATAAAGTTGCTGCATGAGGAACGGCGCCCATGTTGAATACTGTGGCTGAACATCTGAGCTGGGCCAAGAAATACACAAAACAACTGCCCACTACCAAGTTGAACCCGTGATCTCGTGAATATACTATTACAAGTGCTGTGCTTTGACCACTTGTCATCGAGAAGCTTGAAATAAAAGAAGGATAGAAAAAGAATCGGGGGGAGATGGAAAGGGGCCGGGGCCCAGCGGCCAGGGCTTGCATGAGCTCACATAGGTCTACCGGAATGAAGTTGAAGATCGAAAAACCCATAAAAAGCAAAATAGCTATCCACTACCTGGGTGGAAAAGGAAAATATCTGCCAACTACCAGAGTTGAATGAGTTATCTCGGCATACCCGTGAAAATACAAGTGCCGCGCTTTAACCACTTAGCCAAGAGCTAGAAGAACAACGAAAAAGACAAAATCCGACGCAAAAGTTTGCCCACTACCCGAGTTGAACGAGTGATCTCGGCATGTCAATCAATATACAAGTGCCGCGCTTTAACCACTTAGCCAAGAGCTAGAAAGAACGACAAAAAGACGAAATCCGACGCAAAAGATTTGCCCACTACCCGAGTTGAACGAGTGATCTCGGCATGTCAATCAGTATACAAGTGCCGCGCTTTAACCACTTAGCCAAGAGGGCTGTGTTACAGGGGCCGAAGTACCACAACCAGGAGCACGTGCCTGGACACTAGATCTTGGTCAGAACCTAGTCTACTTTGCTGGTGCTTTGCACTGGGCAAATTCATGTGAGCCTACTTAAAAGTCAACTGCATTTACACAGACATGTCCTTTGAATACTGTACAGTGGTAAAGTACGGTACCCCTCTTCCTGGCAGTGCCCCGAGTATGCCTTCTGCTTGAGCCAGTATCATGACTATCATTATCTACTTGAGACTGTACATCAACACAAACGGTACCTTCATCGACGTGCCACGGGGGTCTTGCTCCTTCTAACCTCTGGCCAGTCCAGGCCCCGTCGCAGCCTTGCCCAGATATGCCTCGAGAAGTGGGGTGGTAGATCCAAGAGGTTGTCGACTTTGCGGAACTGGCGGGGAGCACACTTTTTGCTGCTGCACGCTGCGCAGCTCTGCCCTCCAGGCTCAATCTTGAATCCAGTGCCGTCACTCCGCCTTGCGACTTTCTCGGAAAGGAAGAAGGCGTGGCGGGCATCCATAGAGTCTGGGGGCCCTGGGCATGCAACCATATACAGGTTGCGTTTCTCTATGCACTTGTAAGTTGATACAAAGAATCAGAATGAGAGCACACGTACCAGACACAAACCACTTTTGGATTTTGTCGGATTCGGGCCTTGTCCATGCCTTGCGGTCTGCCGGTGTGAGTGGAAGAAACACGTTGGGACAGGTATACCCCGTTTTGAGGATCTGATCAACCGCAAGCGTCAAAAGGAGGTTTGTGTCACTACAGACGGCCATTGGTATATAGACCTGAGCAGTGGTTGTCGAAGCTGCCGCAATGACGGCCAGAAGATCCTCGGGGCAGAGAAGAGCTTCGAGGGCTGAAACCTGCAGAGGGGAGCTCAGGATGCTCTGCGCAGATACGGTGACCAGCCCAAGCTCAGCCAAGAGATCTGGTTTACTGCCAAGAACTCCAAGCATTTGGGGACGGTCCAGAACATCATGCGTGTAGAGTACACGCTCGATAGTGGAGAACTGCTTGCTGTTCATGAGGTGCTTCGGACCCCCAGTGGAGCAGGAATGGGTAGCGACATTGTGGCGCGCAACACCCTCCCAGCCACATCGGTGGCAGCAGACGGACCTGGGAACTTCGAGCAGCTCGCCAACCCAATACCGACCAGGTTTCGCAATCTCCTGGAGGGTCTTCATCAAGTTAGAACGTGCGATGGCCTCCGTGTCCACGAACACTGGCGTGTTGCGCCGCAACTCTGCAAATGCGCCGTTCCGAGCCTGCACCTTTTCGAAAGCCGCCTTTGTCCGACCAAGGGCGTTCGATGCGAAAACAACCTCCGTTCCCTCCTTCAACCCTGCGAACCAGCTTCGAAATGAAAGGGAGAGGATGGGGTGAGGATAGGAGCCCAAGTGGTTGGGGTCAGGAGGAAGATCAAGGCTGTCGAGCTGGAGTGCATGCGCCACAATCCCCTCCAACTGAAGCTGCCTTGCCTCCCCCAAAGCCGCAGCTTGAAGCCCACGTTGTTTCGGCCTGCTTGAGCCAGGCCCAGTATCCGCTCTCTGCTCGTCCCGCTGAACCGACCCAGCCAGTGACCTTGCATATGTTAGCGTCAGTTCGGTACGCCTTGCCCTTGTCTTGGCCGCCTCCAATGCAGGAATAACACCACACTCCAACAGAATGCTCTCTGCCTTCATCTTGACCTGCATGAGCCATGCGCGCGTTGCAGCCTCATCCTGGTCGTCGGGAGCACCGCACTTCAGCTGCGAAGCCGTGACTTGAATCACGGTCTGGGTGACAGTCTGAACTAGGAAGTCAACCACCCAGCGATGAAGCGCGCTTGCAGGATCATATTTGAGTCGTCCATAATCTGCAGCTGCGACGTAGAGCGCAAGCTGAGAGGGAAGACGGCCTGTGCGGACGATGGTGATCTGGCCCAAGATGGCATTGAAGTTGCCGCCCCTGAGCTCGCGATAGTGGATATCATCAGGAAGGTGGGTGGAGAGCGTTGGTGGGCTTTGTCCGGCAAGAAAACTGT